CCGGTTTCCAAATTGCGGTTTCGGTTCGTTTTCCGATTTGACGGTTTTTGCTTACAGCCCTAAGAAAAGGTGATCACAACAATGAGATATCAACACGGACATTTCATCATGGAGGACACCCGTAATAGAGCGACTTGGAAACGGCTATTTTCAATAGAAGATGCCCAAACAGGAAAATGGGGATTTGATGTCTTTGTGAAAGCGATAGATTGTAAATATGACTTGTGAATCTCTTATTGCTCTCTACTTTTGTAAAGACTTGAAGCACTCTTCATCTACATATAGATTTTTAAAGGTGAATTCTGCATGAAGTGCTACTGCTAGTAACATTATGTTGATCAGTTCACATGAAAGATTTGACGTTGGTGCGCATGAAGCCATAAAAGCAAAAAAAAAAATTCGATTGTATTTTTCTACTCTGTCTGTAACATTAACTTTGACACTGAGTTTTTCTATATAAAGATATTAGTTTTGGTATAAAAATAGGATCGGTTAAAGGTATAAAAATAGGTGGGTTACGTGTCATTCAATTATTCGACAGTAAAAAAAATTTACCCAAATAAGTGTTGACACACACCTTTTTTTTTTCCATTGTCACCGACCTTGTTTGAATAACTTTACCCAAGATATTATTTGTTGGTTATCTAGAATCTGATATCGATTGGTCTGCACTATCTGCTCTCATCTCTGATTAATAGAAGCTATAGCAGCATAAGCAGTCTCTGACTCACACACAAGAAACTGCAGACTGATTCTTACCATTGATGTTAATTAGGGTCCGTTTGATACGCAAATGTGAAAAGAAATTTTAATTTCATATTAGTTGAAAAATAAAAATATACCAACCAAATTCATAGAAATTCTTTTTCCATTAAAAAAAAATAAAATGCAGTTTAAAGTGGTTGTACCTTGGAATTTGGTTTTCATTTTCACGTTGCAATCAAACGGTCAAAGTGGAATTCATTTTCCTCGAATGTGACATTTTTCACGGAAAAATTTGCAATCAAACAGGGCCTTAAAGTTTTTGAGTTTTCTAAGTCCAACCAGTTGACGAAAATAAAGAAGAAAAATTAACCAATCCAAACGACACAATCAGCAAAAGATACATTCTCTTTTCATGAATAAAATGAAACATGTATTGGAAGGGAGACATGACTTGACCTCTGGCAAATGAAAGAAGGTAGAAAATTAACCGATCCAAGTTACTCGATCGATCTGGAAAACAAGTGCAGTCTCTCTTGATCAAACTTTGTTATATCACCCTCTCTGGCAAGTGTTCCAGTGGTTACTCTCACTCCACTTTAATCCACAGGTGTAGCAGAACTCAAATCCACAACTGTGAGTGTGACAGTCAGGAAAATAAATAATACCTTCGTCCAAAAAGATAAACTTGCTTCCATTTTTACACAGATTAAGAAATTGTAAGTAATATAGTTGGAACAATAAATTTTACTTAGAAAACGAAGAAATCAATTCTACTCTCAACGAGGAAAGTAACTTGTAATTTGGGACAAATGAAAAAAGAAAGCAAACATATCTTTATGGGACGAAAGAAGTATATATAGCCCTTGTTTGGTTCCTATTATTTTCAAAATCCATTTATCTGTTTTATAGTTATTTTAATGGACCATACATTCTTCAATAAAATAGTATTGCACGTAAATCCAAAACTTTTTCTTATTTTGCACATACACATTTTTCATCAAAAAAACTATTCCAAAATGCATTATTTCTGAAAAAAGGGGATCAAACATGCTCATAATTATATACAGAGGACATAATGTGGAAATTTTTTAATAGTGGCCACTCAACTTACCAGCCGGTTACCTAATGTTAATTTGTTTGAGTCCGACCATCCAACTTACGTCACTAATTCAGATTGACCATAAACGTGATAACATCGAGTGAGGTGCCTCATGGAATGCATCACCGAGTACTTGTTTAATGTTAAACGGACATTAACAACGATAAGCGAATAAACTTAAATTTGCCTTCTGTGCAATTTGCTTTCGATTTGTGAAAGT